ATGACACCAGAGATACCAGAGAGACCACCAATACGCCGAGACCACTAGCAGGCAAACCCGAGACCCTCTGCTAGCGACCCGCTATCGTATGGTACCAGAGTTATACTAACGCGAGATAACTGCCACTGGGTAACCCAGAAGATATCATAAGCTACTGGCACGCTATGTCACGAGAGCAGGCAGCGGAATAATAGCGTGGAGGTCGCGTGGAGTGTGGCCTGGCAAGCATAATACTCGCATAATAGGGTGGTAGCACGGTTAGGTCGGCCATTTTTCGGCGATCCGGGACTCGGCGATTCGATTTCGGAACTTCGATACCAATTTTCTACGGTCGCTCTACGGGCGATTTTACCGTAAAATTGATTTAAATTTGGCGATTCTCACTGTGCGCGGTGAAATATGGACGTTTTCACGAAGGGCCATCTTCATAACTTGGCCGAGACAACTTCAAAAATTGCATATGAGGGCTCTATAAATTGCTCATAACCAGGCCGATTTGGCTAGCTGCTCGGATTTGATGTTCAAAGGGTCTTGGTCGACCCAAACCTCACTTCAATAACTGCAATGGAAATGGCGCTTAGGTTCACCCCGATAACTCACGGAATTTTGAGAATTTTCAAAATCTGAGGATTGAGCCAATAGGGGCACCATTTGGGGATACGTTCAACATCTAACATTGGTCAAATCAGGTTTTGCCCGGTTATGGTGGGGATGGCCCTAAACTGCATTCTAAAATGCCACAAGTCCAACTTTGATTTGACGTTTTCTATGATTTTGTCGATGAACTTTCTTTGGAAGGGGTCAACCGAATATAACAAGTCATAACCTCCATAAAAAGCCCAAGTTCGGGGAAAACGGCCAAGTAACGAGAAAGTTATTAGCATATAAGCGCAGGTATCTCCAGAAAAATCCGCTCTGGAAACGGACCAACCGGGCAGTATTAGCAGCGCCCGGGGCTGACGTCATCAGCGGCCAAGTCCGACCCGGGATATCGCAAGTTCGATCCTCGTAGAACACTTTAGAACTTTAGATCACTACTTTTGGCAAAGTATTGCTCGAGCTATGGTGGTTCAAACTTCAGCTTCTTTTCTGAAAACAGATTCTGGCCGACCTAACCGTGCTACCACCCAATACTACCGAGAAGTATCATGCAGGGGAGTGTCCCATACCACCCCAGCCAACAAGCATCATTCAATTAGATACAACTTGCGTATGCTCACCGATAACAACTGCGGGCGTGCAACATGTGCAGAGTCCCGTAGGTGGAGCTTGAGCAGCGTGTCAAGCTCAGTTGGTGGCAGCCCGCACGAAGGTTCTCCCGTAGGTACGTTGGTTCGCGACTTAAGGCGTTGCGAGGGGGCCTCGGTCTCTCGGTGGCCCCTCGGTGGAAGTAGCATACTGAGCATAAGCTAATGCGGGGCTGGCATGAAGACCAGCAGAACGATAAAGAAAGGGCTACGCGACAAGCGTCTAAGGTAGCCGGCACACAGAAAAGGCAAGCGCCGTGATTCCAAGAAGGTGCATTTGGAATGAGAGTCATCGTTCGAGCATCGAGCATGTCATATACGAGCCTCGGATGGGGCTCGGATGCTATAGGCTACGCTGAGTCTAATAGTTAGTCTGCGCCCCGTCTGCGCTACTCCAAGTCACTGAGTTACTCGCGTAGACTACTAAGACTACAGTGCAGACTCAAGATCTAGTGCACAGTACTGAGTCCTCTGTTTCGCTACGATTCGCGAGAGACCTAAATCGCGTAGAACGCGGAACACCACCTAAGTAGCCAAGCAGAGTGTACCGCTACGGTACCTCGCGACCGGTCATTATTGACTAATGCAGATCTAACGGTACGAGGCTCTTCGAGCCCGTCGCCGAGTCCCGGTGAGCTCCACGTCCGCCACAGCTTCGCAGGCCCACCGTCCCGGTAAACGCGGGTCCTGCGTGGCTGCCCGGTACCCGGTACCCGCTCGCAGGCTCGCGGAGGTACCGCCGCACGGTACCGCCTGCTACCGCCGAGTATTACGCGCGCGTGGGCTCGCGGCGAGGCTTCGCGGTTGCCCCGCGCTCGCGTAGGATGCCAGTAGTACGGTAGGTACTTGATGGTGTTGTCCGCCAGGGTGGCGGTCCCGGGGCACTACAGCTTGACTCGGACTGATTGTGTGGCAACTTCCTTCCTGGGGATACTGTCCCTTAAAATAGGCTTTAGCGCCGCAACCATGGTGGTGGACAGGCGGATAGTAGTACCGTTTTACTTGGGTGCCCACATTTGTTTCCATAGAAAACTGGCGCACCGGGCCAATGGCAAGAGTGCGCACATCCTATCTAGAATCTAGATATCAGTCATGATCTGACTTGCGGACTGTTATGCTTTAGGGTCGACTTTAGCCCAGCACCTCTACTTTCTTCAGCAGCATTTTCCCGCAGAGTTTGCTAGCACTTCATAGAGACACAAGAGGAATTGCCGTGACTCCCTCTACTCAACGCCAAGAAGAAAGATGGAAATCAACCCCCTGGCCCCTCTTGGCCTCATTCCTGGCGTGATCAGCCTGATCTGCGAGTGTCAAGAGGGAATCGATGCAACGAAGAGGGTCTAGAAGCGGGGATTCAAGGACCTGTATGACACCATAAAGAGCCTACAGGGCCCTGTGGAAAAATACTGCTCGCTATCCATGAATGGCGACATTTCGGTCGCTTTGATTGGCCCGCTGGCAGCCCTAGAGGGACACCTAAAGCAGGCGAGGGAGTTGCTGAAGAAGTTTGACAGGATGTCAGTCGCATACCGCTTCTTATTCCACAGGACCATTGCCAGGGATCTGAAGGCCATCAACCGCGCAATCAGCAGGAACATGGAGGCGCACAGATCTGCAGGTGAAAGTGTGGGGTGGCTGGTGCAAGAGGAGCGGGCGAAGGCAACGGCCCAGGGGTGGCAGGAGGTCAAGGAGAGGTGAGTATCGTGAGAAATATAACTGCGATTTGAACATGCGATTCTATGCTTGGTGCCCTTTTAAGCTTGGTTGGACAGGGGCACAGATTTTTGGAGTGAGGGAGCGCGCAAGAAATATGATGTCCGGGAATGCGGAACTGGACAAGGAACTTGTCCTTGTATTTTAGAACGAGTGGATCCTTGCCGTTTAAATCTTAGTGGTGTCCTGTTGACAGCAGCAGAGGCAGAGAGGGACATACAGGTTCACAGGAAAAGCCAAAGCGTAAGCCTGCGTGCTGCCAGTATGATATGTAACAAGAAGCAAAGCCTTGAAAGCGGAGTTTCTGAAGGAAGTGCGAGCAAGCAAAGCAGGTTTAAGCACACAGTCAAGTCTGCTTTGCGCGGATCGCAGCTGTTTGGAGAGAGTCGCTAACATACCTTTTGGGAGACATCTGTTGCCTGCAACGCATGTCGACGCGCTTCATTCTAGTTCATTCTGGGCAAGAGGGTGCAAATATGCATTAGTCTGTGTCGCAGGCAATCACCCATGACAGATAGGGTTGACCCTTTGAGATCTGTTCAAGAAGGCTGCAGAAGTTTACTGTTAGTTTGCATGGACCTGCAGGATGAGGCGCCTACAGCTTGGCAGCGTGTCCAGCACGAGTACATCCAGCTCCTCATCTCTGCCCTGCTCCGAATCGTCCACTCTGAACGACCTTGACGCTGAGGAGCTGGCGCAGCAGAGACATGAGGTCATCCCCGCTGAAATATCGGCCCTCATGGAGGTAGGCGACACTTCTGAGGCGGTTCTTGACCCTCTTCTGCAGTTTCTTCTTTGTTGGGCAACATCTGCCAAAGTCGAGTCTGAGCAGATCTTGAGTTCAATGCAACGAGGTCGTTTCAGTCATTACAATGAGTCCCCCATGCCCTTAGAGAGTCAAGCCCCAATCTGAGCAGTTTGTGGCTATAATTCTAGTCTGAAAATTCCAATCCTGATTTTGCTTTTGGAACACCATGGCATCCCTGGATCGGACCTGAGTCCCGCCAACACCAGAAGCACTCGCGTTTTCCCAGTGCGACAATCCCAGGCTAAGCAGAGATTTCACAAACACCGATGTGGTCTATCCCACGAGTCCCCATATCCAAGTTACTGTCTTCTCCTTCTCGAGCTGGTTGCCTTTGCACATGCCCATTCGAGAACTACGAAAGAAACCCACCGGTGCGGAACGTGCTGCTGCATGTGGCGGGTCTTGCACCCCTCTGCAGCGCTAGGTCCACCTATCACAAATTGGTCTGCCTTGCCTCCTATTATAGTATGTTGCAAGAAGATTCCGCCTGTCTTTTGCTTCTTGCAACTCAAACAAGAGCGCTGCTTGACCGGGGCTTTTACCCCTTTTGAAACGTTCTTACTCCTGGTGAGCATGGGAGAGGCGCGAAGGCGCCTGGTGATAAACTTCTCGGAGAGAAAGTGGTGTAAAGGTTACACCTTTGGTGGAATCCC